GGGTGCAGGCTCCTGGGGAGTCAGACTCAGGGCCCCACAGGGCCCTTCCCACTGGCAAAGGGCCTCTGGCGGCCTCTGCATGGAGGACTCTACTTAACCCAGTCATCGCTCCCTACGCGGGCGACTCTGGCTACCCAGCTCTCCCCGCCGCGGGCCGCCCGTAAACGGAAGCCGCTGACTGGCCGCGCAGAGGGCAGCACCCCACTCCTGGCCAGCCCGGTGCAGCCCCCCACCTACCGTACACCCAGCTGATGCAGACGACCTCGAACACCGAGAGGAAGAGCAGGCAGATGCCGCTGGAGGCATAGTAGTCGAACAGCTGGAAGATGTACATCCCGCCCTGCAGGAAGGAGGGGGCGCTGAGGCCGCACAGGGGTTCCTCCCCCTCGGTGACAGCGACACCAATGGCCTGCATCTAAGGAGGGCTTACCCTGCACCCCGCCTTTAGGCCCCTCCTCGTGTCAGGACAATCATGTCTGGCATGACCTCCTTCTGGGCTCCATCTAGGTTGGGGTGCCCTTCTCTCCCTGCTCCTTCCCCGGGGTGGCTGTGGTTAAGGGCAGGCTGCAGTGTGGTCCCTGCTCCTTCCCCGGGGTGGCTGTGCTTAAGGGTAGGCTACAGTGTGGTAGGCTTCCTGGACCACGCAGGAGGAAGGGGAGCTCTGAGGTAGACAGGAACAACCCACTGATGTCGGTGGGGCAGCTGGAACCAGCCATGCCAGAAACCAAAATCTCTCTGGACTTCAGGAGCCTTCCCCTTTCCTCTGCTCTGATCTGTTCTGTTGCTGGCACCTGAAGGAGCCCCCTGCCCTGCGGCGTGACCCTGTGAGTGGCTGTGAGGGAGGCAGGGTGGTGTGCACAGCCCTGGCTAGCAGAGAAGGGATGGCGGCATCCCCACGACCCCCTCATCCCGAGTCCCGTCCGCAGGCTGCCCACCCCGCTCACCTCGGTGACCAGGAAGAGCCCCATCAGGTAGCACGCGACCGCGATGGCGAGGATGAGGAGCTCGCGCCGCCCGCTCTTTCGGCGCTGGCTGGGGAACATGGCCACTCCACGCAGACGAACTGCGGGCGGGAGGGCGCGGTGAGCGGGGCAGGCCAGGCCCCAGCTGCCTCCCTCGTCCACCCTCACTGACAGGCAGGGGAGGAGGCACGTGGAGCATGAGGGGCCAGGGAGGCAGCCTGCCCCGGCCCCCGCTCCCCCGAGGGGTCCCCAGTGAGGGCAGGGGGTTGCATTCTGTCCTCGGGGCTGGACACTGGGCCACTCGGTGAGCAGGTGAAAGAGGCCAGAAGGACCGCTGGGGGGAGGTGTCTGTGTTCAGGGGACAGAGTGGGCAGTCCCCCACCCGGAGAGGGTCTCCAGGTCCAGGCCCACCCAACCAGCCCCAAACGAGCCCTGGGCACAGGGGCCTCAGGTGAGTGGGCAGTGGGGAGGGCCGAGCAGCGATGGCAAGGGGTCCCGGGCCCCTGGGAGGGCCGGGGGACGTACCTGGCTGTCCAGCCCTAGGAATATGAGCATGATGAAGAAGAGGCAGGACCACAGCTGGGACAAGGGCATCATAGTCACGGCCTTGGGGAACGCGATGAAGGCCAGCCCAGGACCTGCCGGGCACACGGCTGAGCTCCGGGCCCTCGCAACCTCGGGAGAGCTGTCCGCAGGCCCTGCGTGCGTGCGTGCGTGTGTGTGCATGCGTGCGTGTGTGTGTGCACTTCCAGGAGGGGAGATTGCATCCATTATCTGCTCTTCCCAGGTTCCGGGGGCTCACGGCCACCCGTCCCCCGACTCCCCTCCCCTCACCACTCATGTTAGGGAAGCCCGCTCTGTGCCCAGCCCCACCCAGACGCCACACAGCTCACACGCCTGGCTTCTGGGACCCCTGCCTTTCCATGGCAACAACTGTATCCTCTGACCCTCCTTCCCTGCAGTCCCCAGAAAGGTGGCACCTACCTGACTCGGCCACCTCAGAGATGGGCACCCCCTGCTCTTGGGACATGAAGCCCAGGATGGAGAAGACCACGAAGCCGGCCACAAAGCTGGTGGCACTGTTCAGGAAGCAGAGGGCGATGCAGTCCCTGCGGGGCGTGGCGGAGCGAGCAGACAGGCAGAAGGGGATAGTGGAGAGGAAGTCAGCAGGGATCCGAGAGGGACAGGGCGAGGTGGAGAGGGGACATGGAGGAGAAAACACACAGGGAGGCGGAGAAGACGGCCGAGACCCAGCAGGTGCAAGACAAGGCGGGTAGGGAGAGAGCCCGGGGAGAACGGAGTTCAGCCGGGAGGGACCCGCAGCCAGCCGGACACACCGTCACTGCCTGCTAACAGACGGGGACGGCTGGGCCCAGTCACAGGGTCTGGGGCCAGCGTCGGGCCCGGTGCTCCGTGGGGCACAGACAGCCCAGCCAGCCGCCCTCACCTGTAGCAGTTGTTGTGGTACTTGTTGTAGCTGCCCAGGGCCGTCAGGCACCCCAGGCAGATGGCGAAGGAGAAGAAGATCTGGGTGCCCGCGTCCATCCACACCTACGAGGGGAAGACGAGATGCAGGCATGTGGCTGGGCCAGGCCTGGCCAGGGAGCTGAGAGGTCTGACCCTGCCGAGCCTGGGGCTCCGTTCCCCGGGCCCCACAGAGGTTCTTGGGCACTCCCTGGACAGTGCAGGCCCTGGGCAGAGAGGGGCGATCACAGAGACAAGGCCCTGGGTCTGTCCCACCCTCCTGGGAGAGGCTCTCGTGCAGCGTGACCAGCTGGGCGGGAATCCCAGCGGGTGCTCCAGGATGCGAGCCCTCGCTCTCAGGGCCAGCGTGAGCACGTAGCATTGGCCCTTGTGTCTCAGAACCTCTGTCTAAGACGTGGGGAGATGGGTCCCAGCTGACCAAAGCCCCGGGGTGAGGGGTGACGCATCTGCACAGGGCTTTGTACCCCCCGGGAACCCCAGCTGCCAGGCGGGCCCGTGCTGTTAGCGCAGCTGGCCGGCGGTGCACGCTGTGGCTGAGATCCCACAGTTAGAACAACATCCTGTGACAGACATCAAGGCCGTGAGACCCAGCAGCTCTCGGAGCTGCCGAGCAGGCCCCGTGGCGGGCCCTTCCCAGGGACCCTGCCCCCGAGGTCAGCACCGCAGACCACACGAGCCCTGGGCAGCTTCGCCCAGCCAGTGCTCCCCGTGTTCCCAACAGGAATGGGCAGACGACACCACCATGTAACCCCCAGAGAGGACTCTGCTTTCCATAAAACCCCCTGTCCAACCTTCCAGTAACCTCGGGCCTCCACGCCCACGTACCCAGCGCTCCTCAGCCATCACCAGCAGTCTCAGCCCCACCCTCTCCCCACCCCACAGGCCACAGCCCCTAGCACCGCAGGTCCGAGGGCCAAGACCCGGAGCCACACCGAGTGCTCAACCGGAGCCTCTAGCCAAGATGCTGAGTCCTCTGGGCCTGCAGAAAGCCCAGAAACCACACATGCCGAAGCTTCTTGGGGAGCAGGCCGGGGATGACCGCCGGGTCACCCCTGAGAGCTGGTATCAGGGCACTCCCAGGCCACGAATCCTCTGGTTAGATTTCCATTTCTGCAGAGATAGGGACAGAGCAGGGAAAGGTGGGGGAAACGAGGGGTGTCCCTAGACTTTGGTCATTCTGCTTCTGGGAGTCCCAGGCCCACGGTAGTTAGGAGTTGTCACCACAGACAGGGGTCAGCAGCAAGAGAAGGATGCAAAGGGCTGGCCAGGGCAAGGCAACGGCACAGAGGGCAGGAGCTCCAGAGAAGGGCCAGCAGGTGGCATGGTGGCTGGGGTGCTGGACTCCCACATGGCCAACAGTGGTTCGAGTCCCAGACCTGGTGGCCTGGGGGTCATGCTAGGTGCTTGTGTATGCATGCCCAGGGTACCAAGGGGAGAATGGAGGAGAAGAGATTGCAGCGTGGCCATCCCCCCGAGGGGTGATCTCTCACTGTCACCGTCTCTCTGTTTGGTGAATGCATGTGCACTATGGCAAAAACTTAATAATAATAACAACCCAGCGAGACTCATCTTAACTGAGGGATGATGCCGGGGAAGGAAACGGGGTTCGAGATCTATGTCAGAAGCCGGAGAAGGAAAGGGTGGGCACAGAGGCTGGCCCGAGGACAGGCGAGGGAAGCGTGTGCACTCAGCCTGCAGACGCCCTGGCCAGCCTTATTCTCCCCTTGGGGCGTGCCAGGTCATTTTCTCCTCTAAACGCTGCCCTGCAGGTCCTGCGAAGAGCCCTCTGGGGGAACGCCGCGACCTGGTCCAGCCTGGTGCAGGGTGCCCCTGTGCCCGGGGGCCTGACCGGCTGCAGGACAAGCTCTCCTCTCCCTCAGGCTCCCCTACCCCCTCCTCTCTCCTTTCCTGTCTCTCTCCTCTTCTCTCTCGAGTACAGGCACACTCCCCATCACACATTAGAGAACAGAGGGGCGTGAGTCGCCCTATCCCATCTCCCTCCTGTCTCGCTCCGTAGGATATCGGCAGCTTCCAGGGCAATGAGCCAGCCCATAGCCAGTGGTTAAGGGAGCCAGCGCCTATGTGGCCAGCTATGGCTCAAATCCCAGCCCCAGCAGTTTGAAAAACATGCCAGTTGCGTGTGAGTGCATGCCGCAAATCCCAACGGGAGGAGAAATGGGGGAGAAGTCCCTTGCAGCAGAAAGCCCTGAACTCGTGCATAACGGTTTTACCCAGGGCCAGACCTCCAGGGCCAGGAAGAGAGCTTACCCTCCAAAGCTCACAGGTCCCACCTGACATCAGTCAGACACTCTTGCCCAAGTCGGTCACCCAGGATGTGGCCCACGAGGCCTGGAGCCCTGAGCCCAACAGGGACAGACTGGACCACACCTCACAAGGAACCCCACGCCCTCGGGACACTGGCTCCACCGTGCAGGCGCGCCCCCGTGCAGATGATGTTTGTGAACGTGGGCTCAGGGGGAGACAACAAGAGAAACCATGACTTAGCTGTTTGCCTGCCATGGGGGTGGGGTGAGAATTGGGAGGAGAGGGGGATGAGAACAGAGGAAAGGCCGCGGGAGGGCCTGAAGCACAGAGCTCGAAGGTCAGACGTGGGGCACAGACCAAAGCCCCCTCGCTGGGCGCTTGGCAAGGCCTGCTCTCTGCACAGCTGTGCCTGACCAGCCTGCTGGGAGGGGAGAGGGACAGCAGAGCAAGCTGTTCTGTTCCCACCGCAGGCAGTCCCCTCCCTGCCCTTCCAGGAGCCCTGGTTTCTAGAACAAAGCTCCCACACGTCTTCGGCTGAGGCAGAAGACTGCCAGAGAAAAAGCATGTGTGAGAATTACTTGGAGTGTGGGCAAAAGAGAGCCTTGAGGGCGAGAGGAAGAGAGACCGCTAGAAGATCTAGGAGAGATGTCTGCAACACAAGTCCAGTTCCCACAATTATTATTATTATTATTATTATTATTATTACTATTTTTGGAGAGGTTTTCACTATAGGGCACGTGCATTCGCCAGACAGACAGAGACAGAGAGACAGAAAGCGAGAAATCACCACCCAGGGGGGATGGCCACGCCGCAATTCCTTCTCCTCCATTCTCCTCTCGGGATCTTGGGCACGCATGCACACGTGCCCAGCGTGAGCTTTAAGCCACCGGGCCCAGGACTCGAACCACAGTCGACCACATGGGAGTCCAGCGACATAGCCATTACGCTAACTGCTGGTCCCTCAGACGATTATTCATCCCTACTATTCTAGGACGGCAGTGGTGCATGATGGGAAAAGCAGGGGCTCTGCAGTCCAGCTAGTCTGGGTTCAATTCCCACCTCCATTAATTACTGGCTGTGTGATCTTAGACAAGTCATCTAACTTCTCTGACCTCCCTTTTTGCATCAGGAAATGACTATCCTAACAATTAAAATGGTGTATATAAAATGCCAGACTCATACGTAAATAGTGGCTTCCTATCCCATCTTCTAGAATTATAAAAAGCAGCTCTGGTGCCAGTCGGTGGCATGGAGGTTAAGGCACTGGATTCCCACATGGCTGGCTGTGCAGTTCAAGTCTCAGACCTGGTGGCTTGAAAATCACACTGGGTGTGTGTGCGCACCCAAAATCCTGAGAAGAAAATGGAGGAGAAGGAATTGTGGTGTGACCATCCCTCCAGAGGTGATTTCTCTCTCTTTCTCTTTCTCTCTCTCTCTCTGTCTCTCTCTCTGACAAAACACGTTCCTTTCAACAAAAACTTAAAAAAAAAAAAGTCTGAAAACTCTCAAATGCTTTGGATCTATCACTAAAACAGCAGACTCCCAAAGATGACTTGGGGCCAAACCCAAGCGTCTCCACCTGCTGGCTTTAGGGTTTGGGCCACTGTTCTTGCTTCCCGAGGTCTGTGTCCACATCCGTAGAACGGGACGCACACCTAGCTCACAGGGTTAGTGTGTGGATCACACCGTGTCAAGCACTCAGCAAAATGCCTGGCAAGGGAGAAGCCTGTGACGAATGTCAGCTTTTGCCTGCCGTCTGCTGCTGATTTTTAAAGTCACTCCCCCTTCGGTGTACGCAGATTTCAATGTCAACGTGCTACGCAAAATGAAAAGACTAGTTCTGGCCGGTGGCTCCAGCGTCTTCCTAAACAAGCCTTCACGGGGCTCGCTTAACAGGGATTCGAGGCTTCAGGAAGGGCCTGCACCCCCGCCCTGCCTGGTCTCCCGAAGTGCAACAGGACACAGGGTCAGGACGAGGGGCAGGAGTGGCCTGAGGAGAGCACGCACTGGTTCGCAGACTCTGCGCTCTCGGGCCATCCCCCAGTGGGACAGAAATGAGCCCCGGAACACCAGGAAAGGCGGCAAGGCAGCGACCTGCCCAGCGCACAGCAAGCCTCCCAGACAAGAGGGAAGAGCAGACTGAGCAGCCCCTCAGCCCCAGCTCAGCGGGCGCACTCGGAGCTGTCCCTGGTCTGTGCGAGGCTCACTGGAACTTTGCGCCTTCCTCAAGTGCCAGGCAGATGCCGGCTGGAACGCCCTCACTTCCTGGGGAGTGCCAACGACATTCAGCTAGAGCTCTGGCAGGGCATCCCACCCCGTAGGGCTCTGCTCACGGAGAACAAAGGCCTGGAGTCAGCATGGGACCTGGCCCAGGCAGCGGAGGAGGCCATCTGCAAGCTCAGGGACAGGCCTGGCCCTGAAACAGCTCCTGCCCTCAAAGCACTGGAAAGCCAAATGCTCCCTGCACAGGCTCCCGCCGGCTGGGGCTGGAACGGGGGGATCTCAGAGAGCAGCTGAGGCAGCAGTACCCCACATGGCCGATCATGCAGTTCAAGTCCCAGATTCAGCAGCTTGAGAAGCATACCAGGTATATGTGCATGCACGCCCCAAATCCCAGGAGCAGGGGCATACCAGGTATACGTGCATGCACGCCCCAAATCCCAGGAGCAGGGAGACATGGAGGAGAAAGGATTGCGAGGCAACCATTCCCCACTGGGGAGGGGCTTTCTCCTGTCCCTCTCTGTCTCTTCCGGAGCACACACACTCCAGGAAAGAAAATATATATTTCCCGCAATAACCCGGATGCAGGACTGTGGCCGTGGGAACGCTCAGAGCTGAGGGGTGCCTGGCCCACCTTCTCCGTACTTGCTGGGAGTATCCTACAGCAAACACTGCAGTAAAACTGGCCTGGCACATAAAGATTCTTGACCAATTCTTGCTGAATGGATGAGCTGTGAGAGAGACCACGCGAGCACGCTGGGGCCTGGCCCGCAGCAGGAGATGTAAAGCGCGTGGACCTGTGCAGGCAGACCCGGTTCCCGCTGCAGGCGAGGGTGGAAGCTCAGCTCCCTGGGCTTTCATCTCCTTATCTGCACAACAGAGACACCTGGTCTGCTGGGAGGGCGAGGCGAAGTGGACTGCTCGGCAGCACCGAGGACATAGTACACCAGGTGGTCGGGAAAGCCCCGACGTGTTTTTTTCCACGTAAACACGCGTCCTGACTTTTCTGACAGCCCAGCGGTAAGCACTCGCGGTTGTTGGCTTTCCACACAGCCAGGACAGGCCCCTACCTCAGGCCTGGAACCCCTGGGCACCTCTCACCTCTCTCTTTCAGCCTCGCTGGCTGTCTCCCTCCCCTCGTCCTCCCTGTGAACAGCCGTGAACCAGCAGCTTAGCCAGGGGCCAACCGC